AACATTTTAATTATTTGATAGTAGTACTTTAATTATTTGAGTATTTTAAAATTTATATTTAATTCTATTATCGAGTCTAATAATAAGATTATTGGGCCACTAGGGCCCGATAAAAAACCTTTAAATATGTTAGAGTCACAAGCTTTAGGGATCATCTAGGGTTTTGTGAATCAATTTTTTGGTTGGGATAGAAGACATTTCATCGTTTTCTATTTTCTTTATTCAATAAAGATTCATATTTTACTACGTATAAGATTCATATTTTGGTTGGGATAGAAGACATATTTTCTCTATTCATATTTTAGATCGAACCTTAATGATCCAATAATCTTATTATTAGACCAAACGATAACATTAAATATATAATCCAAAATACTAAAATAATTAAAGTGCTACTATCAACTTAAAAAGGGTTGCTTTCCTCCGGACTGGTCATGAATAAACTACTAGCAGTCGATCCTCCTGACGTTAGCAAGATTTGTCGGTATCAATTGCCTCCCATCCCCTATGAAAAATGCCGTGTCCCCAAGGCAGAAAGTTGGAAATTGTTTTAAAGCTCATCCCAAGTGAGTCACGTTGTGCTTCTTTTGTTAAACCATGCCACCAAACAAGAACCTCTGGCTCCTATTTGAACCTAGCTGCTCCGCTAAAATCTCTTTTGTGAAAGGCCTGGCGGGAGCCCTATATCCACTTATAAATCTCATATAATATTCTGTCAAACCCAAGAATCATGAACTCCGTAAGATGAAGTTAGAGTAGGCCATGTCTGAACCGTATACACCTTTTCCGGGTCCATAACGACCCCCAACGGAAACAATATGACCTAAATACTCCACCTCCACATATCCGAACGAACTCTTTCCTATCCCCCGTAATTGATTCGTCTGTAACAGTTCTATCACAAACATCAAATGCTTTACGTGTTCATCCCACGTAAGACTATACACCAATATGTTGTTAAAGAAAACGAGTACACACATACGCATATGCGATCGAAATAGATCATTCATCGCAAACTGGAATGTTTCCGGTGCATTAGTGATGCCAAAAGGCATTACCAGAAACTCATCGTGTCTGTTCTACGTGCAAAACATTGTCTTCAGAACACATCTTCCTCTCGAACTCAAATTTGGTGGTACCCAAAATGTAAGTCTATCCTTGAAAAACTGTTGATCCAACTAGCTCATCTAATATTTTATGAATTATAGGAATTGGATATTTATGGAACACAGTCACCTTGTTCAACTCATGAAAATCAATACAAAATCTCCTCCAATCTTTCTTCTTTACCAATAGCACCGGACTCTGAAATTGGCTTAAACTTGGGTGAATGATCCCTCTTGTTAACATATTCTTCACTATGCGCTCAATCTCATTTTTTTGCAAGTGACAATAACGATAAGGCTATACCGACATTGGGCTAGGACTTGGTCGGAGTTTTCTACGATGATCATTCTCGTATATTGGTGGCAATTTTCCCGACTTCTCAAACACGTTTAGATACTATTTTGGTACTTTCTCGCGGTCCCCCCGGTCTACATTGTTGGCTAAAATTGTTGACATAGCTAATCGGATTTTTATGCAACTCACCGGTTCCACCACTAAAGCCCAAAAGTGTGCTTTCGCTGTTTTGAATGAGGTTCTAAGTGCCACCAGTGACTGCGATAGGGTCGGCTCTCCCTAAAGGATCCCAAGATCCTTTCCTTGTGTACACACCCAAATTTGATTGGGCCGGTCCGGAACGAATACGGCCAAGGATTTGAGAAATTGGCTACCTAGAGCTGGATTGCGGGTTCAACCGACCTAGTGGTCCAATCAGCCCGATTAAAGAAACATCCCAATGGAAGCCAAGAAGCTGGGTCAAAGATGGTTGGGAGAAGGGTGTAAGTAGTTGAGGAAATATAGGGATGAGATCTTTATCCAAATAAATTCAAAATCTAAATAAGAGGGTATAATCAGAAGGAGGTGACATTCATTCAACAATTCTTTCTCTGAAAATTATTTTTCCTGCAATTTTTTCATCTCTGTAATTGTTTCCAGATTTTTTTAGTTCTCTTCCATTAATTCCAAGTTAAGTTTCAGTTTTCATTCCTATTTTATCGTCCTCTTTCTTCGTCATTTTTTTGGTTGTCGCGAGATAGCCCGAATCCTTTCTTGAGGAGGCCAGAGAACCCTTAGAAATAAATCGATTCTGGCATGCTTCCGATTAAGCCTCCGAAGGTGATTTTTTACAACAACACCTTGGTTATATGTCACTTTCATAGTTTCCTAATTGACTCGTACGTCGCCCAAAGTTTGTAGTCACGCAATTCCTAATATGGCATCCACACTACTAAGCGAAAAATGTAACAATCGGCCATAATACTTGCCTTGCCGACCCCTAACTGTACAACCTTAGAGACTACACTACATAGCCTTTTTGCTAGCGCCATTGTAAACAATCCAACATATAATATTGACAATGATAATTCTCCGCCAATTTTTGCGACACGAAATTATGACTCACATAGCTATTCAAAAGTATCGTCACCTCTATTCCATTGAACATTCCATAACTCCTAATAGTTGCGGGCTCGTAAAGACTTCTAGTGAATACAAGGGTAGGGACGTATCCCTTTCGTTTTCCTTTTGTCTCTGTCTCTATTCTTGACGACTTACTATCTCCATCGTTCACCTGTTCTCCCAAGACTTTCCTTCATCCATGATCAGTGTACATATTTGTTTCATTGGGTACATATGAGTCGGGTTATAGGGTTGTTTGCATCGATCGCGCCACAATGAATCCTCATCCCTGGATCGAAAGTAGCGAAACCAATTTAATGTCATTCCTTCTATGACAACCATTGCTTACAGTGCTCGATGGTACTTCACGAAATTGTGTAGTTCAAACTATTGCTCTGCCTTTCCGATCTATCAGCACCATTAAATAGAGACAGCGTTATGTTTGAAATTGCTACTTGATTTGCAGAAGGCTGGAAGTTGGCCCACAGTCGGTGGCGCGCTAGGTTTGCGCTTGTTAAATCACAACCGAGGATCCTGTGGGGTCACTGGGCACAATTGAAGGGCGGTTAATACCATACCGTAGGGCTGCCATCAACTCGTGCAATTGTTTGGTCATCTGGTTTTGTATGGCCTCTCTCTGTGTTTGCATCGTCTTAACCACATCCACTTGTTGTCGCGTCTTCGCACGTGCTATAGACAGGGTGGTTAAATTATCTTCTAGCACTCTAAGACTGGTATTCACATCTCTAGAGCGTGTCTTCATCCTCCCTGGAGGTTGGACCAATTGATATGTAGTAAAATATGAATCTTTATTGAATAGAGCTAACAATAGATTTAAATATATAATCTAAAATACTCAAATAATTAAAGTGCTATTATCAATCTAAAGTAGGTTGCTTCCTCCGGACCTGCCACGAGTAAACTACCGGTGGTCGATAATCTAAAATACTCAAATAATTAAAGTGCTATTATCAATCTAAAGTAGGTTGCTTCCTCCGGACCTGCCACGAGTAAACTACCGGTGGTCGATCCTCCTGATGTTGCCAGAATTTGCAGCATCATATTATTCCGAATTTTAGAAATAAAATCGCCTTTATGCTTTTGAGTAAACGATTGATTTCATTTTATTGTGCATAGGAAAACGATTGATACCGTTTGATTACTCTTATTTACTTATCTTGCATCTATCACTAGCAAACAAGATTATTCGAAAACCAACATTGATGTAACTGTGAGGAGGAAAATACCAAAAAAATATGCACCAACAAGAAAAATCAGGGAGTTTATGGTTGTTCTTCTTTATTTTGGCTAAGTAAATTTGTGTTTTGTCTTCTTGTTAGTTTGGGTGTGTTATCGTAGTTGCTAATAGTTTTAGTATATAGCAATGTATATACATTCAGCTGTTGTTATCCTACCCTAGTTAGTTCGGCTTTAGCTCGTTAGATTTAGTTTTAGTTCTTAGCTTAGCTTGCTGTTTGGGTTAATTTGTTGTACTCTTGATTAAGTTAAAACCTTAAAATTTAAGGTTTGCTGTTGTTTGTTGATTTTATCCTATTATTAAATTAGCAGCTCTGGTGTAGGCCATTTCCTGATTAGTTGTTTTAGATGTACTCCCTCCATCCCATATGGGGACAAATTATGTGGGACGGATGGAGTACAACTTAGGTAGAGTTCAATAGTAAGCAGGAGCTGTTTCCATTCCATCCAGTCTGCTTACGCCTGCTGTTGTTTTTATAAGCTGTTTACTGGATTTTTGTCGGCTATTTGAAGAATAAATTATTGTGAAATAAGCCTTTCCGCTTAGTTAGGTTTGTAGTTGTAGCTGATAGGTTAGCTAAATTAGAGATGGTTTAGCGCTTGATCTTAGTGTTAGCATGTAAATTTCAATAGACGTAGCGTTAGCCTGTTCTGTGATGTTAGTCTATTTGGCGTGTTACTTATTGGTTGTTTTAGGTGTTGAATTTGTGCAGTTCGATAGTTAGCATGGTCATTTTCCATTCCATCTAGTCTGTTTTCACCGCTGTTTGTTGTGCCCAGATTCTGACTGTATGGTTAGTTTCAGCTTTACTTTTTTGTGGTTCATTGGCTGTCGCATTAGTCTAGTTTGTTCATTGTTGGTGCGTATCGTAGTGCTGTGGTTTAAGTTTTTTTTCAAATTTGTGTTAGCTGCTTTGCTAATTATTTGTTTATTCGTTGGTCAGTTAGTTTAGGCTTGCTGCTGCTGTATTTTTTAGTCTGTTACTTTAGGAATAAGAGTGGTAAATCCATTTTCACCTTTGTCAATCAGCTTCACCCTTCCATGAATTTAGTTGGTTCGGTTCTTAATTGTTTAAATGTAGTTGTGTATGATTGGTCGGTCTGTGTTGTGCTTGTGTGTTCTGGGTTGCTGCTGAAGCTCTCTATCAGCTAGCTTGCGAGGAAAGTGATGTTGCTATATATTTTTATTTGTTAAATGGATTAACAACAATAGATAATGTATGTTGTGGGTTTATCTTTAGGAATTGGTCTAGCTGCCATTGCTGCTTCCATTGGCATCAAACAATATCATTCGAGGATGAACAATGGCATTGAACAAGAAAATTTTGGACTTTCTTCGGCACCAACTAACAGAAACATCAGCCATATTCAGGTTTTGCAATTTTCTGCTCATGCTGCATTAATTGCACAAATAATTATCTTTCAGCCATGCTAAATTTTTATCTAGTTAGCTTGGTTTGTGGTTTCAGTATTAAGCCTGTCTCAATTCTAGTCTCGTGCTATGCAGCTAAAGAATTTGAGTTTGTTTATTTAAGTTTAATGAAGATCTGTGGCAGTTTGTGGCAGTTTATTTAGCTTAGTAATTGTTGTCGTTAGTTTTGTTCAGCTCATTAGGTGTTAGTTTAGTGTGATGGTTAGCACACTGCTGTGATTCCATTTACTCTCTGTGAGCTGCTGATCTCTCTCTCTCTCTCTCTCAGCTCTTTTTAGTTTAATTGTTTTAGTTTAATATTAGTGCATTTTAGATGTGTCACAACATAGACCTAATAAATTCAACAATCATAACAAAAATATATGATAATAAAGATATTTATACGATTAATCCATCACAAATTAAAGCAAGACTAATGGTTTGTTCACTTTAAGTTTGTTTCTATTTTTCATTATGCAATATTTCAATCTTTCTAAAAAAAAAAAAAAATACTACATCCAACCTGTTCCAGTGGCCCTGGGCACCACCAAAATGAGGCCTACAATGGCCCGCAATATATTTATATATATGTACATATTAATATTATTAAAATTCTTTATGAACTAAATTTTAGGCTTTTAAATTAAATAAATAAATTTTGTATTTATTTTTTAAATAAATTATTTTGATATTGATTTATTTTTCTTTTTAATTAATTTGACTAATTATGTGTTTTTTTGTATTTTTTTGTAGTTTGTTTGTTTAGTATTTTTAATTTTTGATATTTTTGTTATGGAACATGTGAAATTGTGAAGGCATTAATGTTCTTGGAGAGTTGTATTGATATAGTATGAATTTTACCGAATTTATGTATATTTGGTGTGTTTTACAAATTTACGAGACATTTGACAAAATTGTTGAAAAAATAATAATAATTGGAGAAAACAAGAACGACAAGATCAATAAGCTTTAGTTATGACTATGACTAAGAAAATAATATGTGATCTATTTGAGCCCAATTAAATTTCAAATCCAATTTTTTTTTTTTTTGTTTATTTTTGTTGAATTTTTCCTTTATGATTATCGAGTTGAAAAAGTATTTGAATCCAATATTTTATTTACTTCAATAGTTGAAGCCAATTTGAATAGGATATTTGTAATTTTATATTTGTTTGAATAGGTGACACTCTAGTTGAATAGTTTATTCCAGTAGAATTATATACTCGAATTTTAAACTGTTCATTGTAGGTAGTAATTATTCAAACTAAAATTTTTTAGATTATAATGCAATTAGACAATTTAATTTATATGGTAATACCTAGGGTTGTTAGTTTGATTAGGATAGTAATTGTAGTACTTTAATTTTCTACATAATAATGAAAAGTTGAATGTTAGAGTTTATTGATATCTATAACTAGATCATCAAAGATTATGAAAATTATTTTTAGTTAAATTAATGATCCAGTGCAAAACTCATTTTAAAATCACTCTTTGGATTGTGATTTTTTATTGTATAAGTATATTCCTTGCATTCTAATTTCTAAATTTTTTAAAAATTTTAATTGTAGTTATTCTTTATGCTATTATTTAAGTTAAATGAAAACTCCCTTCTTTACTTTTTAAATTCACTGGACACGGAAAAAAAAAATTATTATGTAAATTCTTGTTGGAGATGATCATCTTCATTATATTACAATTATTTGAGTGACTATGCAACTAGTCAATTATCTTGGCCAGGATGAGGTTTAATTCTTGTTTTTTTTTCAGGCTGTGTCCAATTAGATCCCTGTGGAGCACAATTTAAAAGGTTAGCATGCTTCAGTTATTTGTTTTGTATGGAATTAGACAATTAGTTGTGAAAAATGATTCTACTGAGAATGTTGTGTTTACCTCAATTATATGAATCACCAACTAATAAAATACATCGCAATGGTGGTTACAATTCAAACGCGTCTCTGTATGGTAACTCCTAATAAATACTCAAATGTGTCGTTCATAATCCACACACATACATATATGTCGAATCAAGAACTAGTGTTGAGTAATAAAATCTCTTCATGGTGGTTTTAGTGTAGTGGAGAGTTTAGGCCCTCTTGAGAAGATAATGAATGAACAACATGATGTCTTTTTGAAGAACAAGGAGGTGTCTTTCGGAATGAAGGTCTCTTCATGAGATGGTGAAGAGTTCTCTTGGCGCAGTAAGTTCGAAGTATTGGGAGAGCCTTCTCTTTAAACTTGAGTATGGAAAAGAATAGTAGTTTGTATGCTATTAGTATAGCTCCAACTGCTGCCAAATCCCACCATTTTGAGTGATTTATGGAGATGCCCAACATACTAGTCAGAACCATTTCTCCCTTTAGTTTTGGCTGCCCTGGCTGTGGCGAATCGAACTCGATCCCTATCATGTCATTTTTGTAGGCACCCTGCATTTACGAATTGAGTAAAGATGGTGAATAATTAGAATGAACATATCACAGAAGATAGGCGGCGATTACTTTGCCGAATAATAAAATTCAACACGCTGCTGACAATACACAATATAGAGACATACAACACGAGAATTATATTAACACAATACAAATTGACAACACATGATATAAGGACAGTCAATATATGATGAAGGAACATACACAACATGCATTATGTATTTATGTTAACATAATACAAATGTAGCATATGAATTAACAACACATAGTATAGTCTCATATAACACACTAATATATAGATAGATAACACATTAATTATGATAATATAATACAAATGCAACATAGTTCACTGACAGCACATACTACACCTGACAACATACCTATACGGTGCTGAGTAAAACCATATGCGCTAAATAAAAGCATGTGCTGACTGAAAAAATAAAATTAACGTTGCGCTTATTTGCCGAGTCAACTCTATAACTATCTCGTAGAAGATATATAGGCTTTTCACTAAGATATTAAACTTACTTGCTCTTAAAAAGTAGTCTATGGCTCTCTTGTGAGTTTCTAAAACAACTTAATCGTAGAGATTATTAGCTGTCTTACTAAATGTGCTCTGAGAAAGTTATGTTCCTTGAAAGTAAAATGTTAATCATTTTTGTAAGAAAGCTTGCTTATAAGCTTCAAGAGTAAATTATGACAATACCTTTGCAACTTCAGTTGCAAATTATGAAATAAGAATTGCTCAGTGATTATATTTTACATTTACCTGTAAGGCCCATGCCATGTAGTTGATATACGAGACTGGATATTTCCAGATTATCTTTGGTAGATCAGGGAGGAGCCGAAAAAAACCAGCCGTAGCCATCATGATACCCTGCATCATACATAATTAAGAAGCCTTATTTCCTTCCAGCATTTCTAAACTTAAAACAACTCACAAAGTGTAGAGTGACTAGCTATGGATTGATGCTTACAATAAACCCGGCGCCGATAATAACTCCCATTAGGAAATTGGGAACGATTGCAGCCACGACCATCATGCAGCTCTCGACCACAGCTATGGAGATCAAGAGGTCGAGGGCAGCATACATGAAATGGCTGAAGCCTGGGTGATACTTCACCATGAAATAAGTAATCGATGCTGTGCTAAACGACATTACAACCAAGAAAGGAAACGAAGAGATGAAGTTAGAAATAATAAACACTCCAACCCCATAATGCCCGTTGAGCCTTTCTTTGTAAAATACCTGATCCAACACAAGATTAATTAATGCGTCAATATCCTTAGATAGTATTAAGTGTAGTTTAGATGAGGCGGCAGTTACTGTGATGAACAGTGCTACTATAATGAACAGTGCTACTATATCGTGATATAACAGACAATATGTCATTTATATTAACATAATACAAAAGTAAAGACATGAGCGGACGGTATGCATTGAAATTATGTGTTGTCTGTATATTTATGATGTAATGATTGGAAAAATTAACATTGTATTAGATAGAGATGGATGGTTACCTTCATTTCTTCGATGAATGATGGGAAGCCTCCGATTGCCATGAACGTCATGAAACCGGATATAAATCCACCACATGCTCCCCTTGCTAGAACAGCATGGTAATTGGATCCGATATCATGGAAGATCGAACCGACACAGATGGAAACTATAACAAAAACTAGGATTCTCAGCCAGTAATAACCAAAGTCTCTGCACATGTTTGTAAATGATCTCTTTGTCAATGTCGAAAGTTGCCTGGACCATGTTGCCTGGCTCCCACAAATTTCTTCCATAGCAAAATGATCCTGAAATATACATACACACACACACATATATATCCCTGCTAATAATGTCCATATATATATATATATATATATTGATTTAGCCTACCGTAGGTGAGAATTCTTTGATTCTAGCGCTGATCCTCGATGCAAGCTTCAAGCTTTGATACTTCCGGATAAGTGTTGCTCTGATTTCTGTTGTCGACATTGAATTTATATTCAGACCTGACGTATCTTTCACTTCCATCCTCTGTGAACCCTTCAATGTGTTGTGCACTTTGTCGAAGTCCGAATTTACACAACGAAGAAAATGATCTGACGGGTTTCTTCTACTAGGACAGGGGAATCCTGCGTCGGCAAAGAACTGTATAATAATTAGGAGGATTGAATCCAACAGCATTCATAACATGGTCAATCTGTTACAAACTGTTCAATCTTATCGAAATATAATTATACATACCTGTATTGCCTTTCCAGCTTCTCCAAAATAAACTGTTTCTCCAGACGAAAGCAGCAGAAGATCGTCTAACAGGGCGAAGACTTCGCTGCTGGGCTGGTGAATGGCCGATATGATAGTTCTGCCGCTTCTTGCGACGTTCTTGAGTGCTTGGACGACGAAGAAAGCGGAGGCGCTGTCGAGGCCAGTAGTGGGCTCGTCGAGGAAGAGAAGGTAAGGTTTAGTTATGATCTCTAAGGCGATGCTGAGCCTCTTCTTTTCGCCGCCACTTATTCCTCTTAAATGCCAGTTTCCGATGAGATGATCGGCGCAGTCTTGAAGGCCCATCTCTGTTATGGTGTTTTCGACGGTTTCGTAGAGTTCGTCCTTAGATATGGTGGAGGGGAGCCTGAGCATTGCTGAGTAGGTGATGGTCTCCCTCACTGTTAGTGTCCCCAGGAACACATCTTCCTGCGTCACGTATGCCTGCAAATTCGAAATTGTAGTATCTAATAGGATGAGGGAGAGAGAGAGAGTGTTGGTACAACTTAACTTACAAGAAGACCATGGTGAAGGGTGGTGATAGTGATGATGTTGTTAGTGTATCTGCCATTGAGAGCAACCTTGCCGGACAGCACCACATTTCCACCCACCCTACCTGCATGCATCATTAATGTATAAATTCATTCCTTCAGTTACTCATTCACTCACTACCTCTACATCCACACTATATTAATTAATATTTAGAGCTTGGATCATCTATTGATCCGATCAAGTTAGGATCACCATATGTTATATAGATAATCGACGGATATTTATATATATATATATATCTTAGCATATATTGTATCATATGTAAATACACATGTTTATACGGTCAAATCCGTATTATGCTGATTCGGCGGGATCAGTACCATTTAGGAAATGGATATAATATATTATGGTCCTCGTCTGTCTGTCCGTCCGTACATTTATTTGTCAAGTGCCTGCCTGGTATTAATTTAATGCTTGAAATTGAATGTGCATGCATACAGCATACCTATTTACTTGTTCACAACCACCACCACCACCTCTCCCTCATTCCTCTATTCACCTTAATATCTAATTCAATGCCAGACATGTATATGCATGCATTCCATTGCATTGATTATATTAAATATATATAGTGCAAAAATATCAGCGAGTGAGTTATGGACATTATGGTTTTATTAATTACAAAACTGCCAACATATTTCTATATACTTCATTCTTATTTTAAATTTTATAGTTTATAATTTTTTAAAATTTTATTTTATAATTATTTTTATTATAAATTATAAAATAATTATTTTTACTAATATATTTTTTTATATTATACCTAAATTTTCGTATCTAAACAAAATATATATAACTTAAAAGAATAATAATAATAATAATAATAATCAGAGGAGAAGGATATTTAGCGGCAGAGTAAATAAATTTGAAATGTACAATAGAAAAAGCTGTCAACAAATAACCGCCCAATAACTGCAACCTGTCCTGTGGTAATAATAATAATAATAAAATATTCTGTCCACCAAATGTATTTTTATTTGGGTTCAACACAAATTTTAATAAATATTTATAATATTATATTGATTTATTGTGAAATAATAGTAGAATATTATGAGATGTATACAAATAAATTTATAAAATAGAAATTTTTTGGTAGATTGATGTGTAAATTAGTCTCACAAACAAATTATTAGTTTTTTCATTTTAATCCGTTTTATAATAAAATATCTATTTTTTTTAATAATTATATTATCTACATAACATTACAATTTATAATATATTATACAAATGTCATTACTTTTATATCATACAATACTAATAAGTTATTTTAGTCATTTGTACTTTATTCTTGCTACATCTCAATATAATATTAATATTTCTAAATCTCAGTACAAAAAATAAACGAATACTTAGTTATGAGACAGATAGAGTACTATTTTTTAAATAAGTATAATATTAGTGTAAATTAAAAAAAATTGTAAAATTATTTAATAAAAATAAAAATTATATATTTTTTATGGATAAATAAAAAATAAATATAAATTTAGTGTATGGAAGAAATAATAAATAGAGAGTATATCGACAGGTGAGGAGGTTGTGAGAGACAACGCACCATTTACTTTCACCCATTTATTTCTCCGCTGTTTCTTAGTCTTCTTTAATATATTGGATCAACTTATCTATGCATTTTAACATTATATACTTTATGAATTTTTATTTGGTACTAAGGCATTTATTCTTCAATTTAATTTTAGAAAGTAAACATTTTGCTTTATTTGTTTTTATATATATATATATAGTTTTGAAATTTTTAATACTCCATTCGTCCCATCTGTGATGATGTCTTTTGTTTGAGCACGAATATTTAAGTAATATAGATTAGTTATTTAATGATGATGTATAATAAAAGTATATTATATTGATTAAAAGAAATTTAAAATATGTGTATAAATATTTTTAATATTATATCTAAAATATATATATATATATAATATGAATATTATTTTTTAAAGAATAAATTTTATATAATATAAATAAATAAATTTATTTATTTATTTATTTACATTTATATTTACTATAAATTAGTTTTATAAAAAAATTTGAAGTTTTAAAAATAAATAAAAATATTTGCTAACTGAAGAAAAATAGAAATAAATTTTTTTTGAGTGTATCATACGTATAAGAAGTTATATATTTAATTAAATTGATTATATTTATTAATTGTGTTTAAGATTGATAAATTTAGTAGAAATAGAAAAATGTCATTTTTTATGAGACGATAAAAAAAATGGAAAATAGGTTATTAACTATATAAAGTAGGAGTATTATTTTATAAAAGGGAAGGAGAGAGTATTATTTATTGATTATAACTTACAAAAAAAAATTGCATTAACTATATATTTCTCACAAATATAATATTAAATCCTCAATATTTGTATGATTTTGGTTGAATAAAAATATAATATTTTTTTCTAATATAAATTATTATAAATTATTTAAATTAAAAATCAAATAAAAAAATTTAAACTCAAATCAAAATAATGCATATCCTCAACTTTTTATTATTTTTAAAATTTTAAAAAGTAAAGAAACATGTATCTAAATGAAATTTTAGCTTATAAATAGTTTCTATTTAAAATTTTTCAGGTAAAAAAAAAAGATAAATAAATAAAGTGGAAGACGACATAATTATATCCTACTAATTAATGATAAATTGATAATTATTATTATCGTTTATGAACAAATATATATATATATATATACATATTGTTGGACTATATAAATAAATATTTTAAAAGTAAAAAAAAAAAAAAAAAAAGTGAGGATGGTGAAAAAGTCAATATTATACAATAGCGTTTTGTTTGTGTTTGAATTATTTAAATAGTGACTCGAGGGAATATTTCCTAGGAAAAAATCTTATATTTTTATCAAAATAATGTGAGCATTATATGATAAATCAATTGAAAAAAAAAAAAAACCAACAATACTAAAAAATGAATTAAGATAAAAAAAATAAAATTGTGTTTTGAATATTTGATTCTTTTAAATATATAAAATAAATATTTGACTATAATATATATTTTTTTAAATACAGATATATATATATATATACATATATTCTATTGAAAATAATTTGAATGCATAGTAGAAAATTTCATAAGGCTAGCATGCATGAAATGAAAAAAAAAAAAAAAAAAAAAAGAGGGTACCAGCTAAAGAATCGAGGAAAGTGGATTTGCCGGAGCCGGAAGGTCCCATTACGGCGAGGATCCGACCCGGGAAAGCATAACCCGTTAGCCCATTTATTAGCCTTCTCGTCGGGCCCTTCCTGAAATTCGGGATCACCGCCGTCAGCTCCTCCCACGCCACCCACGCGCCGCCGCTCTCAGGCGGAGGAGCTGCTGGTGCTGGTGCTGTCATCTCTATTATCTCCATATATATATATATATATAATGATCCAGATCAGTAGCTAGTACTGATCCTCATGATCTGAAATTAATCAATTCAACTCGAATGTATATATATACATATATATAAGGGATTTAAGAGAGAAAGCATCCCTATATATACACACATATATTTAATGTATGTATATATATGTATGTATGTGTGTGTAATTCTGTGAAGATGGATGAGAGTTGCTCACTGACTTGAATGCTGTGCAGGGAGATGGTTGGGTCTCTATTTATTTACTTAAATTATAGTATTATTAATATACTCATTCCATCCAATAATATTGGAGATAATTGAGTTGTAGCATTTTAATACAGTGCATGTTTTTATTCGAATTTTTGTTTAACTGCTGCTCCCTCCGTCCACTCATACGGTATACAATTACTTTTGGTGCGACACTTAAAAAATAATAATATTTTAATTATAGTGGGTAGTTAAAAGTAGTGTAATGATATTTTTGCCCTTACTTTTTGGTGTAAAAGTAATGATGTGATGTAAAGTAAGGGTATTTGTGGAAAAAAGTAAAGTATTTAATGAAATATTTACTTTGTAATTTGACGTCCCAAAATAGAAATATGTATACTTTCTAGCTGGACGGATGAAGTATATTATTTTAATGTAATATGTTACGGAAAAAATATATTATATTTTTATTTTGAAAACTAAATAAAATTTAGAATTAAAAAATGGTAAAAAAAAATAAAATTCCCTAGTAACATTGGAAAAAATATATTATATTTTTATTTTGAAAACTAAATAAAATTTAGAATTAAAAAATGGTAAAAAAAAATAAAATTCCCTAGTAACATTCTAAAGAATAATACTACATTTGTGTGGTTTTAAGGGCCTCATTTATTTTTTACAAATTGATTTTTGAATATCAATTATTATATCAAAACATAGTACAAATTAAAAAAAATAAAATTGCAAAAATACTTTTATTAGTGTCTTATAATACTAATGGAAGGACATTTGCACAAAAAAATATAAAAATATAAAAATATTTTTAATGTTAAGTACAATAACGCAATAGATAAATGTGATCTTATAGGCGGACGAAGATAGTAATAATAAAAGAAAAGCAATAACAAAATGTAAAGATAAATGTATAGTACTATTACTTATTTGTTGTATAACTATATCTCATATTTCTATTCAGTATGTATATATATATATATTCATTTATTTTTGTTAAGCTAAATTTATTTTACGTGTAAAATATATAAAATATTTTATGTAAATTTTAGGCTGCGTTTAGACATACTTATTTTCAGCCATTGGCCCTGTTCGACATTGTTCTGGTTTTGGCTTTTCCGCCCACTTGTGGGAATAAAATCTAATTCCAATCTTTCGCATACAGTTCAACTCGCGAAACAAATTCAACTTTCCCGTGAATGAACAGAAGTGGCAGAGGGTTGTCTAATCACCTGTCTCATTTGAAAAAAATTTGTTCCTCTTTAAAATCTCATTGATTGCGTTCTTCTTCTTCATTCAAATTACTCCCAACAAAACTCGCAGATTATCTCCCGCCGCTCGGTGCCAAGGCTCTCCACAGGATGTGGATATTAGTGACGGATAATCCCACCTAAGATCAGGAAGAAACGATCGGCACCTATGACAATTTTTTTTCTTATGTTTTTTGCTATTCTTCGCATCTCCAAGGCCGACATGCTTCCTACCTACTTTGAACTTGACTCAGATTTGAGGTTTGGGCATTTTCTCATATTTTAGTGTAGGTACTAAAAAACATACATTCGTAGATGGCCCTGAGGAACAGAGACAACATAGCCTGTTTTAGTTATGAGACCACTTGTGCTCTGGCATCGATTCCGGGATGCTGGTTCAAGTACTGTAGCATTCAATAGTGCAGTATGGGAGGATGTTGCGGTGCAGTTGCTTGCAGAGACAAATGAAAAGTATCAAACAAAAATTAAAAGATAAATGGGGCCGACTTAAAGGGGAGTGGGCAGCGTTCCGAGACTTGCTCCAGAGGCAAACAAGTCTTGGAGTAGACCCGTAAACTCGGATGGTGGATGCTCCTGAGGAGACTTGAGAAGAAGGGACTCGTGTAGTCATTCTTACATCTTATTTATTCCAAGTCTTTTCCTGTTTCATACCTATCTTTTTTTTTTTTTCTTCAGGCTTATCCATCATATGCTCATTTAAGACATCGTCAATTCCCTAATTATGAACTATGTACTGACATGTTTAGTACAATTACGGCTACGGGAAAGGGTGCCCGAGATCTATCACGTCGTAGGTCTCAGGCTTCTCAAGGCATTAGCCGCGCTAATGCATATGATGCAGGCATTAGCGCAACGAAATATTAGCTGAAGATGATGATGACCGCGGGGATGAGTACTCCCCTGCAAGCGATCATACTGGGTCAGCACAAAGTTGAAGATCATTTGTTGGGCGTCCAAATTGTTGGACAGTGCAACAACAAAGATTGGATGATTTGGCGATATCTGTGGAACGTGGTTACGAGAACCTTAGGCGTGACCAAAATGACTTAGTGCAGTTGGAGGAGACGAGTTTAGATCAGGCTGTAGCTGCCCTACACTCTTTACCCAATATCGTAGAAGCTAAGTTGTTTAAAGCTCATGATAAGTTCCTAAACCATACAAGGAGATGCCTCTTTCTGAAGCTCACCCCTGAGCAGCAGAAAAATTGGGTTATGTCTTTAAGGACCGAGTAGAGGACCTCCCTATCTCTGATGAGTTTACTGGATTATATTACTGCATATTTTATCTAACTTGTATCGTTAGTAATCCATTTCACTATTTGTCGTAGTGGTCTTTTTCATATTAAGATTTTCTTAGGCTCGGTGTGCATCGTAGTCGTCTTTGTCCCATTATGATTTCCTGTACTGAGGATTTTATTTGATGTTTATTGTTAATGCTTGTAAGGTTTGGGCTAGCAGTGTCTACTTGTTGTGTGTTCAATTAATGTCGTTTTTTAAAATTTGTTCTATTAATTTATTTTGTCGCCATAACTATCTGGTGTACACCATAGGATCATCTAGTCGTGCCTCTTCAAACAACTCAACTAATATGGAGGCATCATCCATTACAATTGCATAATCCGTCACAGTTGATAATGATCGCTCGGACGGTATTTACCAGAGAGAGGAGCGGAGGTTCCACCGTCGACTGGAGCAGTTTTATAATATCACGACAACTACCTTACGAAATATTGAGTCTATTTTGCGCCCACGCCAATGTTATGACTAGCTTTGTCTGGCGCGGTGTTTGTGGAAGAATTGTTATCCGGGCACCCAGATCAAATATAGAACTTATTAAGGGTTACAAAAGACACTTTCATAAATTTATATGCGGTGTTACACCAACGGGGGTTCATCAAGGAAAACCCTCAATGTCGTGTAGGTGTGTACGAATCGGTTGCAATTTTTCTACTGGCAGTCGCTCACTCTAGTAGGTACCGGGTTCTTTCTGAGCGATTTCAACATTCGTTGGGAACATTTAGTCACCACGTTAATAGAGTAGCAATGGCCCTTTACAGAGTTGCTGATGAGATCATTGTCCCATATGACCGTACCGATACACATCTGTGAATTGCTTCGTCTGCTCGCTTTTATCCATATTTCAAGGTACTTTTCCGCCACATATTATCTTTGCGCAGCTATTGAGTAGATAATTTAGATTTATACTCTTATGAAGCTTTAAACATCAATATGTTCTCGTAGGATGTTTTTGGAGCAATTGATAGGACACACATTCCAGTTTTTGTTCTACGTATGGAACAACCTAAATATCGTAATCGAAACGGAGACGTAACGCAGAACTTCTTGGCGATTGTAGATTTCGATCTTAGATTTATATATGTATGTGCTGGTTTTGAAGGCAGTGGCCATGCTAGTCGTGTACTATTCCATTCAATTAACAATCCTAATGCGGAGTTTCGATTTCCCCCACCGGGTAAATTTAATTCCGTTTAGTTGTTCTCCTACACTAGGTTGTCATATATCTTACATAACTTGAATAAGTATGCTTTATGTTTTTAAGGGAAATACTACCTAGCGGATTCAGGATACCCGAATTGCCCATAGTTTCTAACACCGCACAAAGCCCACTGCTATCATATGCAACATTTCCAAGGATGGCAGCCTAGGCCCCGAGGACCGCATGAGTTTTTCAATTACCATCATGCCCAGCTTCGAAACGTGGTTAAAAGGACTTTTGGTTGCCTAAAAAAGAGATTTCCAATATTGCACAATAGTATGCCGAGCTATCCGTTCGATGTGCAGGTCGACTTGGTTATGTCATGTTGTGTTGTCCACAATTTTATTATCGCACAAGGTGATGATGTGATGGATATTCCTAGTGAGAGTGGTGAAGAACCGAACGACACATTTTCCGGGAATATTGGGCCGACGCCTAACCCTGGACATGAAGATCGGGAGGAACAAAATGAATTCCACGAAATTCTTACTTATGCAATGTGGGAGAACCGCCATAACGTAGAACTTGATCTGTAAGTATAGTGGAATGTATTTTCATGTACATGTTACATGTTCTTATGTGTCCCTTTTTTACTTGCAAGGTTGTTGGTTTAATTTTTATTTTATTTTTACTTTTCTTCAAAGTCTTCTGTCCTTGTTACATTGCTTACGTCTTATATGTCTTGTTGCGATAAAATTTACGACTTTAATATCTACATTATTGCGCAAGACTGTGACAAGAAATATTTATATTGTTACGAAATATTGCGACAATTAATATTTATATGCTCGTAAGAATTTGTTGCATTTCTATGCGACAACATAATTAATACAAAAAGTCCAATGTGGAACTACTTTCGTAAAAAAATTGTGACAATTAATTAAAATTGCACTAAATAAGTACGTTCCGCGACAACTTCAACCGGAATAAATTGATATTCCCTCCGTCCAGCTAGAAAGTATACACATTTCTATTTTGGGACGTCCAATTACAAAGTAAATATTTCATTAAATATCTTACTTTTTTCCACAAATACCCTTACGTTATATCACATCATTACTTTTATATCAAAAA